ACAGATGTCTCAACAACGGGCATGGTGTGGCGTGGTGGGATCGACCTAATGGTTACCCCAGCCCCTGGGCCACTGTGTAAGTGCTCAGTGTCACAGCCCCCTTACCTATAAAATGGGGAGTGTGGGTTGGGGAGCGGGCAGGCAGCCTCTGCTCTCCTTCCAGGTTGTGGTTATGGCCTGGGAGCGCAGGGGGTGGGTGATGCCCTGTGGCACTGGCACGCAGCACTGAGGGGCTGTCTCCACTTGCAGGTTGTGCAGCGCCTCCAGAGAGGGCCACCGCGTGCCTTCCTGGTATGTGGCGGCTCATCTCTGGTTCTCTGACCTGTGGCTCCCTGGAGTCCTTTTGTGTTCTCCCTGATAGCTGTAAGGTTGGTTGCTGCTGGGGCTTGGTGGCCGCAGCCTGTGTGTACCCCCAGAAAGTTCCATTTTCTCCCAGCCAGCCAACCAGGTTCTGGGTGAGCATCTAGTCCTCTGGTTCTCTCTATTTTCTGAGTATCTAGGATGAAGTGAGAAAAACGAACACTCATGTCTTCCTGAATTTTGGGATTCTCTGGGGAGGTCTAGGTGAGAAAGGTTGGGTCTTGGCAGACCCGGAGGTGTCCTGGCCAATCCCAGTCCCAGGTTTGGCCATAAAAGGGGGACGGGCAGGGGCTGGTTCAAGGTTGCATATTTCCCTAAATAGCAAGATAGCTAATGTGACCCTCCCATGCCCACTTGTTCTGGAAAACCAAGTAGCTCAGGCACCCGGGTTTGACAGTGCACCTGTGGGAGTGGTGGGTGTTTTGGAGCCAAGGTTGTGCCCTCCCTCCCTGGGAGCTGGGGCTAGGCTCTGTGTGCTGTGCGTCTGCTGAGTGCGGTGCGGCCCTGGCACGGCTTGGAGGAGGGGCAGTGTCTGAGTGGTTTCTGAAAAAGGGCAAAAACGATGGGAAAAGCTTTGAGATCCTCTGGGAATCGCGGCCGCCGCAACAGCAGCTGTTACCATTTCACTGGAAATGTTTGCTCAGTGCTGGAGGCTCCCGCAGCCTACTCCTGCCAGTGCCAGCGGCCACGGCCCAGGGAGGGGCACGGGACCCTCGCCCAGGCAGGGAGGCCTCGCTTCTTCGGCATCAGTCCAGCCCTGCCTTCAAGTAGCACTTGCCTCCGAGCTCACCAGCACCCAGCGGTCTGGGGCGTGCCTGTGCCTAACTGGTGAGTCCCTTCTGATGCATGGTAGCCAAAGCGGATGGTTACTGCTAGGGTGGGTGGCTCGGTAGCTGCCACGAGCTGATTCCTGCCACCTTCCAGTCATGAGACCTTGAGCAGGCAGGCAAGCCTCAGTGAACACATCTCTAAACTGGGATCATGGCAGCAGCTGTGAGCTTGGAAGGCACTAGGTCTGGTGAGTGGTGAGCTCTGGTGAGTGAGAGCAGTGGTTCCTGCTAGGCAGAGTCGATATTCCTCGTTCTTTGCACGGCAGCCCTCCCTGGTGCAGAGGCTGTAGCTGCTACCCAACCTGGCGGTTTTCTGGGGTGTCGCCACTTTGGCTGCACAGCCGAGTTCTATACTCCCATCCTGGGCTGTGTTCTTTGTGCACTGTCCCTTGGAGCTGCTTATCTTGCAGGAGGGATGAGGGTGAGCAGGGCTGGTCCTAGCCTGTTTGAGTTGAGGGAAGGGAGGAGAAGGCACCCAAGGGCCTGCATGGGCAGAATGGAGGGGAACAGCAGAAGTGCACAGTCCAGAGGTCTCATTGGATTGGGGTGAGCATAGGCAGCCTTCTCCCAGAGGGTGGGCGGTGTCCTCTCTGGCGATGGAGTTAACAATGAGCCAGAGGCTGAACCGGTTGGGGGGTGGGAAAGGCCATTTTCTCTGGACACCCTTGAGTCTTTGTGAATTTGGAGTAAATGAGAACCCTCATCTCTGCCAGGGTCTGCCTGAATCCTGACGGGAACTCTCTCCATCACTGTCAAGTGCACCGCGGTGACAGGTGCGTGGCTGTAAGGTTCATGGCGGCCAGGCTGTGATTGCCGTCCTGTCCCTGCTTCTCCTCCTTAGCCCAGAGCTAATCCTTAGCCCCGGAACAGCCCTGCCACTAGGGTTGTTTGGTTCCCAGTAGGGAGCCAAGTGCAAAGTGTGTGGTGTGGTTGGCTGGCTAATGCAGTGACGCTGTTCCTTCTGTACTGGGTTTAGTTGCACTGGGACCGGTCAGAGACAGAAGCAAAGCCTCTAGTTAAGAACCCCAAATGAAAGTCACGGAGGACTCTGTGTGCGGGCGCCCTCCTGCCGGACTCAGTGCAACTTGTCCATCTGGGGTTATTTTGCCTTTGATTTTGCAGCCAGGTTCATTCCAGAGGTCCCACAGACGCTCTTGAGGAAGCCAGGTAGGGCCTATATCTTATTCTTACTTTGCTTTGTGGGTGTGCACTTGTAGGAGCAGGAGGGTGGTCCAAATGTGGGGCTCCTGCCTTGGCTCTTGGAGTGGAAATTCCTGGTCTAATTGACCCCCAGGCTCTGGTGTGGGGTCTGGGACTGAACTTAGGGGCTAGGCAGGAACCCCAAGCCTTACAGAGTAGTGGTGGAATCCCAAAGATGTCCTGGATGCAGGCTGTCTGGGAGCAAATCCAGGTTCTTTATCTGGCTAAATAGGCGATCCCAGGCAAAGAGCATACAGCTTTTCCTAGGTTGTGAGGGCCAATGAATGCATGTAAAACACTTAGAACAGTGTCTGCTCGTGCTGTGCGCCTGCCAGGATGTTTCTGTTGCCTTTATGCTCTGTAGCCTCTGAGCCTTGCGTAACCACAGGCTCCCCTTGCTATGGCCAGTCCCCTGCAAGACGTTATGTTTTGGAAGCACAGATGGACACCTGTTCTCACACCTCTACAGCTACCTGTGGTTTCCTCCTGTCTGTCTAATCATGTCCACTTTCTGACCCTTGGCCTTCAATCCTTTCCCATCCAGTATCACTCACCTCCCCATTCAGTAGCCATGCCCTGGGAGTCCTGCCTTCTTTTCCAGCTCCAGTCCACACTGGCCTCCTTCCAGGCCACCTCGCCTGTCCTCAGCTCCTTGATCCCCCTGGAGTCCCCTTGCCCTGGCGAGTACCTGCCTCTTGCTGCAGATTGGGGCTGGCTCTTCTTCTCTGCTCCCAGCATGACATGGGACTAGGCTTATAGGAGAACTCAGATGACTACATGCACGATGGGATAAGCAAGTGGGGTAGCGGCAGGAAGTGGGGCTCCCTGGGTTTGGGGATGCTGCTTGCTGTGGACTGCCCACCTAGCGGATGAATCTGAGACACTACAGCCTCCCCAGAGCAGATCCACAGGCGCTCCTGGAGGTGGGCTAAAAGTCGGCTGTCTGTGCCAGCCCTGGGTGGGGAGGGGGTGGAGTTGTGAGTTGTGAGGCCACCTTGTTTGTTTCCTTGTGGGTTTGGGCATCGGGCCAAGGCCGATTCCCTGCCCTGCCCTCATCATGCACTCTAGGTTCTTACAGCCTGAACTTTCACTTAGAAAGTATGAGACCAAAGAAGCTGCCCATACTTTCTGTGGCTGTTTTGCAGATCCAGTTGTTTCTGCAATCTCACCACCCCCTCCTTAGGCAAGGTCCCTGGCTAGGAAGGGGCTCCCAGGCTTGTGGGAGATAAGGCAGCAACTCCTAAAAGTCATTAGACCAGGGAAGGCCTTGGGTGCACCCGTTAAGATGCTGTTTGTAACAGCTGTGTTCCAGATCAGAGTGTACAGATTCAAATCCCGCCTTCACTTCCCATCCCAGCCTGTTGTTAATGTGCATCCTGGGAGAGAGCAGGTGCTTGGGTTCTTGCCATCCACAGGGGAGACCTGGATGGAGTTCCAGGATTCTGCTCTTGTGAGCATTTGGGGAGCAAACCAGCAACTGGGAGATCCATCTTTCTGTCTCTCCTTTTCAAATAAAAATACACAAAGGCTAAAACATACAACAGAAACTCTCAACTACACGGTGGACCTTTGAGGAGAGGGCGGACAAGAATAGGCCATGCTCCAGTGGGGAGAGGGCACGACAAGTGCAGGGAATGGAGGGCTTCATGGAGGGGGTGTCAATAGTACTGAATCCTGAGAGGCAGAGGCATGAGACTTGGTAGGGAGTGCGCAGGGAGAGAAGGCTAAAACACCCATGTGGAGGTGCAAAGACTCCTGGGTTGGGGTGCATGGGAAGCCCTGGGTGCCTGGGAGTGGGTGTGTCCAGCAGGTGAAGGAAAAGCATGAGCAAGACTAGGGTGTGAGGCAGGCAGTGCCAGACCAGGCTGCAGCTTCCTGCTCTGGCCCTGTTCCCCACTCCTCTATGACTGCTTGGGCCCACAGGACCCAACAGCTTCCTTACACTGAATACCCAGAAGTGCAGGCCTAGGGTGCTTGAGACCTACTAAGTTCACAACAATGAACACCACCCCCCCCACACACAGACGCATGCAAGGGGACAGTCTGGCCACTAGGTTGCATGGCAAAGGCAGCTGTGCCCATGGTTGGTGGCAGGTGCACACCTGGCACGGGAGGGCCATGCAGAGTGGGTGTCTCCCTGTCCTGGGGATGCAGTGCGCTCGGCTCTTCAGGGCTGAGTCATCCTCATCAGCCTGCTCCTCCCTGGACACAGCCTGCCCGTGACAGCCGTTCCTATTGTTCCCTGTACTCTTCCCTCCCCACTCTACCGTTGGGGTGGCTGAGCCCAGAGAGGAACAGGAATCCATCCAGCCCAGGCATCCCCCCTCCCCTGTCACCCCTGAGTCCTCTGACTGCACTGGGGGCTCATCTGCCTGGATCCCTGCAGGTGGATGTCAGGAGTTTGTGCATCTGCAGCTCTGCTCATTCCTGGGGTCCCTAGGCTGAGAGGTACAGTCCCCCAAACTTCAGCTCTTAGGGGCCAGGCTGGCAGCTGGTTGGGTCCTTGGGGTGTCCTGCTTCCTAGGCACATTGGCAAGGAGGGCATGTGGGGATCAGGATGTTCCTGGAACTGGGAGCAAACCCCTGCCTTGGTGCTGCCCACAGGTTGTGTACCAGACCACTGAGGGAGGACCCAGCAAGGATGAAGAAAGGGGCAAGCCTGGACTTGGGGGGGTCTGAGGACCCTCTCCCAGAAGATACCTGCCCGGACCTCTTGGAGGGAGAGTCGAGTGCCAGGCCACCTCTGGCCAAACCCCACATATTCTCCACATCCAAGAGCCGCAGCCGGCTCTTTGGGAAGGGTGACTCTGAGGAGGCGTCCCCTATGGATTGCTCCTATGAGGAAGGCGAGCTAGGTCTCTGCCCGGCCATCACCATCAGCTCTGTGGTCATTGTCCAGAGGTCTGGCGATGGCCCCACCTGTACGAGGTAAGTCTGTGGCTTGGAGCCGCTCTCCTTGCCAGGAGCCCAGCTGGCTCTGCTGGTGGTAACCGCAGTCATGGAGAGTCCCTGGAGTGGTCTGGTTCTTGGGCTAAAGGTCATAAAACTAGGGGAGCTGGTGACAGCGGGGAGGGGGCCATTGCAGGAGGTCTGCCCCAGTATCTTGCACATAGGAGACCTTATAGGACACGTGGTGGCCCATGTGGGTGTGTGTGCTGACCCCAGCTGCCAGGTCACTGCCAGGTGTCCAGACCTGGAACACTCATTAGCCCCTGACACATGAGCTTCATGTCTAAATGTTCAAGGCCAGGGGTTGGCACACAGAATGGGGTCAGTGTGGGCTGCATTTGGACTTGGCAGCCAAGCCCCTGCTTCCTGCCGGGTCCAAGCTGTGGCCTCCAGAGCCCCAACTCCCAGGCAGGCAGACAGGTGATGACTTTCCAGGTAGGGTGGGACAAAACGGGAGCATATGCCCAGCCCCTCCCCTGCCCCCTCTTACACCAGTTTCCTGGACGCCCGCCAAGGCCGTGGGCTGGCTTTTGTGTTCTGTGTTTTCTCCCTTTGGGTGTGCCTTGCATCCCTTTGACAAGCTCTGCAGGCCTCAGGGGATGTGACGAGGGTGTTGTCGGGTCTCCAGGCAGCTGTCCCAGGACTCGGTCACTGCTGGTGGTGGTGCTGCCGAGAGGCCCCACAAGCTGTATGACCGCAGGCGGATCTTCGAGGCCGTGGCCCAGAACAACTGCCAGGAGCTGGAGAGCCTGCTCTGCTTCCTGCAGAGGAGCAAGAAGCGCCTCACCGACAGCGAGTTCAAAGGTGACCGCAAGCACCTGCTGCTGGTGCCCTGGGAGGGGTCCCTGCGCACCCACCCACTTTCCTCTATGTCTTTCAGACCCGGAGACTGGGAAGACCTGTCTGCTGAAAGCCATGCTCAACCTGCACGGTGGGCAGAACGACACTATCCCGCTGCTCCTAGAGATCGCCCGGCAGACCGATAGTCTGAAGGATTTCGTCAATGCCAGCTACACCGACAGCTACTACAAGGGTGAGGGGCGCGGCTCAGCTAGGCCCACTGGCACAGCTGGACCCAGAGGACTGGGCCTCCTGACTGCCCCGGTGCCCTCCCTCTCTGTCCCCTGGTGGCCCCTGGTCCTGGGCTGTGATCCCTGCTTCTCTGTCTTCTTCCCGGTTTAGAGAGTACCCGCAGTCTCCTCGTTTGGCTCCAAGAGTTCCCTGCTGAGTTGGTGTCCCATCTACTTCTGCCTCAGGACTTCCCTTGGGCCGCAGAGGGGGAACATTGGCCTGGGGGGTGGGATGTGAGATAGGGAGGGCTCTGGTAGTGGGCAGTCATCAGGTGCTTTCTGCTTAGTTCCAACCTGTCCCTGGGCACTGGGATTACAAAGCCCATAGCAAGTGCCCTCTGCAGGCCAGACGGCATTGCACATCGCCATTGAGAGGCGGAACATGGCCCTGGTGACCCTACTGGTGGAGAACGGAGCAGACGTGCAGGCTGCGGCCAATGGAGACTTCTTCAAGAAGACTAAGGGGCGGCCTGGCTTCTACTTTGGTAGGGGGAACCACAGGGCAAACACTGGACTTTCTGACTTTTGTTAAGGGGAGGTTGAGGCGGAGATGGTGGGAGTTGGAGGCCTGGTGGTGACAGAGACACCTGCCTCATTCCCAAGGTCACCGCAAGCCCTGTGTTGGCTGCAGGTGAGCTACCCCTGTCCCTGGCAGCTTGCACCAACCAGCTGGCCATCGTCAAGTTCCTGCTGCAGAACTCCTGGCAGCCGGCGGACATCAGTGCCAGGGACTCAGTGGGCAACACAGTGCTACATGCCCTGGTGGAGGTAGCTGACAACACGGCTGACAATACTAAGTTCGTGACGAGTATGTATAACGAGATCCTCATCCTGGGGGCCAAGCTGCACCCCACGTTGAAGCTGGAGGAACTCACCAACAAGAAAGGGCTGACGCCACTGGCCCTGGCCGCGGGGAGCGGAAAGATTGGGGTAAGGCGGCTGGCCGGGTCACTCAGTGGGGTATGCCTCGCGTTGCAGTCACTGTGCATGCAATGCCCAGCTCCTTGTCCCCCCAGCTTGTGGGGCAGCAAGCATGAGTCAGAGAAATCCAGCAGTGGGCAGTGCCCACCCTCGAGGGCATGGACATTCCTGAGTGTCACTAATAAAGGGATATGGTGGGTACCAGGTTGAGCTTAGGGAGAGAGATGTCTTGATGTCTTCCATGGGGGAGTCCTGAGGGGACTGCTTGGCAGCCCTAAGCAAAACCAGGGACCTGTGGGCGACACTGTAGAAAGCCCGTTGGAGGGTGGGGTAGGCATTGCTGGGCCCTGGTGGGTGGAGGCTTCTCAGGCCAGGGGGCATCCTGGAAGGCATCTCTGTAGGAGCCTCTGCTCTTAGCATAGTGGAACCTGGCTGTGTGAATTTGGTTTCATTTCTTGTATCTGTTTTTTTCTGTTCTTCTGGCATGAGATTTTTCTAGAATAAGCCATGGTGGAGGCATGAGGCAGAGGTGGGGACCCAGTGATGTGGGGCTGGGGTCCAGGATGCTGAAGGGTCGGTGGGGGCTCTGAGCAGCCTGGAAGCTTGGGGCCCCTGGCCAGCCTCTGACAGGCTCCTGCACCCCCCGAGGCAGGTCTTGGCCTACATTCTGCAGCGGGAGATCCTGGAGCCCGAGTGCCGACACCTGTCCCGGAAGTTCACCGAGTGGGCCTATGGGCCCGTCCACTCCTCACTCTATGACTTGTCCTGCATTGACACTTGTGAGAAGAACTCAGTGCTGGAGGTGATCGCCTACAGTAGCAGTGAGACCCCTGTGAGTGACCGAAGCGGGGACCCCAGGCCCTAGGCCCTGCCCTTGGTCGAGCTGTGCCTCTCACCAGGGAATGCCCGGGCTCTGTAGCCCGCATGCTCATTCATTCCCACCAAATGTTTCCCTTAGGGTGACTGTCACCACGTGTGGTAGAAACCTGTCAGAAGCCCAGGTCCTGGGAACAGCAGCCAGGTTTTGACAAGATTACAGAGAAGGAGACTCTCCACCTGCTGTCTTGCCCTCCAGATAGCTGCAACAGCCAGGGCTGGGCCAGGTCAAAGCCAGGGACCACAAGCCCCATCTGGGTCTCCCGTGCAGATGGCAGGGGCCCAAACACTTGGGCCATCTTCCACTGTTTTTTCCCATGCCATTAGCAAGGAGCTTGTTCAGAAGTGGGACGGGGCCTGGCGCCGTGGCCTAGCAGCTAAAGTCCTCGCCTTGAATGTGCTGGGATCCCATATGGATACTGGTTCTAAACCCAGCAGTTCCACTTCCCATCAAGCTCCCTGCTTGTGGCCTGGGAAAGCAGTCGCGGATGGCCCAAAGACTTGGGACCCTGCACCCGCATGGGAGACCAGGAGGAAGTTCGTGGCTCCTGGCTTCGGATCGGCATAGTACCGGCCATTGTGGTCACTTGGGGAGTGAATCATCGGACAGAAGATCTTCCTCAGTCTCTCCTCCTCTCTCTGTATAACTGACTTTGCAATAAAAATAAATAAATCTTAGAGGAAAAAATAAGTGTGGCAGGTGGGACTCAAACTGGCATGCATATGGGATACCAGCATCACAGGTGGTAGCTTGACGTGCTGTGCCACAATGCTGACCCAGCCTTTGTTTTAAATCACATGAGAAGCCCATGGCCCAGGCCCAGCAGCTGCGTTGTCTCGTGCATTCCACTGAATGTTTTCCTTAAGATGATTATTGTCCTGTAAAAATGGAAGTACAGGACCTGGGCAGCAACAGCTATCAATCTAAACTATACAAGAACGTGCAGTTTGATTCTCTTCACGTCAATCACCATCATGCCCTGTGCAGTGGAGAGCCAGGCTTGCCACTTGGTGGCATGTCTTATAGGTCATTTTCTGCTAGCCCATAAAATCATCGCTGTGCCATGTTCCACAGAAGGGCTGGCATCACCTGCTTAGGACCCAGTCTTATTTTGATGGGTAAAACTGATTCACTTTTCTTTCTTTTTTTAAGAGAAAATGTTATTTTACTTGTTTGAACAGCAGAGTGATAGAGAGAGGGAGAGGCAAGGAGATCTTCCGTCCTCTGGTTTACTCTCCAAATGGCTACCATGGCTGGAGTTGATCCGGACCAAAGCCAAGAGCCTGGCGCTCCATTCGGATCTCCTACATGCATGGCAGGGACCCAAGGACTTGGGCCACCATCTGCTGCTCCCCAGATGCTTTGGCACGGAACTAGCTGGATTGAAAGCAGAGCAGCTGGGACACAAACGAGAACTCCAATATGGGATTCTGATGTGACAAGCGTGGCTTTACTCGCTGTGCCACAATGCTGGCCTCAGCTTTTTGTTCTTTTATAGCATCTGTGACTTTAGCCTTTCTTACATATGTCTAAAAAGATCTATTTTATTTTTATTTGAAAGGCAGAGTTACCCAGAGAGAAGGAGAGACAGAGAGATACTCCCATCTGCTGGTTTACTCCCCAGATGGCCTCAGAGACTGGAGCTGGACCGGTGTGAGGCCAGGAGACAGACATTTCTTCTGGGTCTCCCACATGGGTGATGAGCCATTCTCACTGTCTTCTTAGACCATTAGCAGGGAGCTGGAGCAGAAGTGGAGCTACCAGGGCTCACTACAGTGCCGATATGGGGTGCTGGTGTGGAGGTTTAGCTTGCTATGCCACGGTACCAGCCCATCTCTTAAGCCTTAGGAGGATTGTCATGTTGGTATCCTTCTGCATTTTTCAGCTGCTTCGCAAGTTTCTATGAGTGGCACTTTAATTGATCTAGAACTGATTTTTGTATGGGCCTGGGTCAGGCATTGCATTTAAATGAGCTGGGTCCGAAGTGAAGACCTCAATGTCACTTGTTGAATTGTTCATCCTGCCACTGCTTTGAAAGGCCACTTCTTACCTGTCCCCTCTTTCTAAAGTAACACTGCAAGCACCCAGGCCTGGGTGCTGTGTCTCCTTCCTGCCTCCCTTGGCTCATCTGGACTCTGCCTGAGCTAGCCTCTTTCCACAATGCCGGGAATAATCAGGACGTAGGCTCCTGGGAATGAATTATGAGCGATAATGGGAGAAGACCCGCTGGGCAATGCTGTGGGCGCTTAAGTGAGCGCTTAGGGCTTGTCCAATTTCACTCTATTCATGGTACCCTTGGGACACAGAGGGCAGCTTCCTCAGTGAACCCCCGAAGAACTGGAACCAGTTTCTGGACCAGACCTGTTCTGACCTTGGTTGGGTTGGAGGGCAACAGGCTGGTGCAGTTGGGGGGGCACTGCTGGGGGGCAGGAGCTAGCCTCTCTTCTCTTTGCTGCCTTTAGAATCGCCATGACATGCTCTTGGTGGAGCCACTGAACCGGCTGCTGCAGGACAAGTGGGACAGATTCGTCAAGCGCATCTTCTACTTCAATTTCTTTGTCTACTGCCTGTACATGATCATCTTCACCACGGCCGCCTACTACAGGCCCGTGGATGGCCTGGTGCGGCTGGGGGTGGGCTGGGGCGTAAAGACCGGGCAGGGCTGGGGTGGGACGGCTCCCAAGGTCATACCCCTAGCTGCCTTCCGGGCTCTGTGGAGAGGTGGTAGGGTCTTTGGGCTCCCCTCTTCCCGGCCCTCTTTCTGTTCTCGACCTCAGTTCTTTAACTTTGTGGCCCAGATGTGCTGAGTGTGGTCACTGAGGACTCTGAGGAAGGATGCAGGAGTTAGGACTTAGAAATCCAATCCCTGGGGCCGGGCATCTGTAGGGTGGCTGGGTGGACAGCTAAATCCTGAGTTTGTGGCCACCTGTTGGTCCTTCCCCTCAGGCCGTTAGTTACTTGTTATTCATTCTTTGGGTTTGGGCTTTTGGGCCAATCTCTGAGCTATGCCTGAAGAGGAGCTAGGACCAATCAAGTCCTCTCCTCTAGGAGCCAAGGCCTCCATCACATTTTCACACTGAATCCTTCTTGTTCAGTTCTCAGGGCACTTACTTTGCCACTTTCACTTCCAGGGTGCCATGCCTATCAGTTTGGTTTCAAAGCTCAGTTAGATGAAATCTCATTTACATGCACCAGCGTCTGCCATGGATGACTGTTTTTGAGGGGGAAAAGAGAACTGTATTAGTGGGACAAGCTGGTGACAGAGAGCTCCTGAGACATCAATGGTCAACCCACTTCAGATCACTGTGGCCAAAGCCCATGGCCTATTCCTGGAGACGTTTTGGGGACAGTCCTTCCGTCTGACATCCCTGGGAAGCCCTGGTTCCTCCTGGGAGACCAGGTGCTCACTGTGGGCTGGGGTAGCAGGAGGATGCTGAGCACATGGGTCTCTGAGCGTCTTTGACCACTTTGCCCTCTTCTCTGGAGTGCTGCATGCAGACGTTGCCTGGGAGACAGTCAAGCATCCCACGGGGGCTCTGTGTGGCACCCAGAAGCTGCCATCTGGGGAGTCAGACTCCACAAAGGGGCATCTAGTGGGTGTCACCATCACCATTACACATTGTGTTTGTGTCTTTCCTCAGGCAGGTGACTGGATTTGTTATTTATTTATTTGAACAACTATATATATATAAAATATTCACTCCCCAATTGTCCGCAATGGCTAGAGCTGGGCCAGGCTGAGGCCAGGAGCCAGGAACTCCATTTGGGTCTCTTACATAGATCGCAGGGAGCTCAAGTGTTTGAGCCATCATCAGCTGCCTCCAGTGTGAATTAGCAGGGAGCTGGAACAGAAGCACAGGATAGCCAGATTCCCATAGAGGCTGTGGGCAGCCCACATGGCAGCTTAATCCCCTGTACTTCAGTGCCTGCCTGGGAAGGGCTGGGTCACAGGGCTTGGCACCTGGTAAATGTCTGTTGAATGAGTGAGTGAGAGAGCGGGTAGAGTCACGGACTTCTTTGTGTCTCACAGCCTCCGTATAAGCTGAAGAACATCCCGGGAGACTATTTCCGAGCTGTTGGTGAGATTCTGTCTGTAGCCGGGGGCGTCTACTTTTTTATCCGAGGGGTAAGGATTCCTTCCCACACTGTGAGTCGTGGAAATAGGAAGCCATAGGACTCATTGGTGTATCTGCCATGCAGGCAGTGGCCCTGCCCCAGGGGCCCAGAGACACTTGTGGGGAGATGGGAGCCATTTAGGCACTCACCGCTGGGGTGGGGGCTGTTTGCCAAGTGCACCCCTCTGAGCCCAGGGAGGTCAGTACTGCCGTTAGACAGTCGTGGCACTCCATGCAGTGTAAAAATTAATCACAACAGTAGGGGCGGTGGGCTCTCCCGCATGAGTGCAGGGAGCTAAGCACTTGGGCCATCTCCCACTGATTTTCCAAATATAAAAGCAGGGAGCTGGATGGGAAGTGGAACAGCTGAGGCGTGCACCGAGAGATCCAAACACAGACTCTGAGATAACTTCCTTTTTTTTTTTTTTTAAGATTTATCTATTTTTATTGGAAAGTCAGATTTACAGAGAGAAGGAGAAACAGAAAGATCTTTTGTCCACTGGCCCGCTCCCTAAGTGGCTGGAGCTGTGCTGATCTGAAGCCAGGAGCCAGAAGCCTCCTCCGGGTCTCCTATGCAGGTGCAAGGTCCCAACGCTTTGGGCCATCCTCGACTGCTTTCCCAGGCCACAAGCAGGGAGCTGGATGGGAAGTGGAATAGCCAGGACATGAACTGGCGCCCATATGGGATCTTGGTACATGCAAGGCGAGGACTTTAGCCGCTAGGCCACTACGACAGGCCCGATAACTTTTGTTTTTCACCCCCAATCTTTTTGGTTTAAGCTCTACCCTCCTAAATACAACAGAAGGACTCGTGTCTATGGACTTGTCCCATATCATCAGACTTATATCTTTGCAGAAACAGCCATCTCTATTTACATTATAATAAAGCACAAAGCAGCAGGTGCAATCTGGGCTGTCCCACAAGGCCCCAGCCCTCCCAGTGGCCAGTGGTCAATCTGGTGAGAGTTCAGCAGAATTTGTACTGTGTTGGCTTGCTTTGAGAAAACTAAGGAGGAATAAAAAGCACCCACTAGGACAGTAAAACAAGAACAAAAACAAACAAACAAAAAACCCACGCAATCACATCACCCCATTGTAACAGCTGAATATGTTTTGAGGGTTTTCCTCCCAGGTTTTACTTCTCGGTGCTGCTGGAGTTGCCCTCTGCATGTGGAAAGATGGTAGAGTCAAATGGTGTCACCATGTTAGCAGGGCCCCTGCTGTTCCCCTCTTCATCAGCCAGTGCTGCGACAGGGCACTTAAGCCACTGTTTAGGGAGCACTTTGGGCGCTCCCCATTGAGCTGTGACAGTGGACACTCACTGGGCTCTTGCCCTCCCCCACCCCCGTCTGTTTATCTGCAGATCCAGTATTTCCTGCAGAGGCGGCCGTCCATGAAGGCCCTGTTTGTGGACAGCTACAGCGAGATGCTTTTGTAAGTGATGTGGAGGACTCAGGCTCCATTAGGCAGGTCTCAACAGCAACCAGCTCTTCTGTTTGTTTTTAAAGATTTATTTATTTGAAAGTGATGGAGAAGAGAGAGTGAGAGAGAAAGCTTCCATCCCCTGGTTCACTGCCCAAATAGCTGGTACCCTTCTATAAAGCTGAACAGAGGCAGTGGATACACAGCTGAGGCTCGGCTGTGGATGGCGCTGCTGAGCTGGCAGGTTCCACGGGCTAGGAAATGCATTTTTGACTGAGAATGTTTTCAACTTCCGATGGGTTTTTCAGGATATAATCCTGTTGTACACTACAGGATACGTGGCGTACCCAGCGTCTGCACCCTATTTATATCTGTACTTTGTATGTAGAGCGGAGCAAAGTTTTGCAACCCCAGGTAGTTTGGGGGCCTACCTTGCTCATAGTAAGAATGCACGGACTCCAGGAAGCAGGAAAGTCCAAGGGCTGCGAGGCCAGACCCGGCAGCTGGGAGCCTTTTGTAGGTGGGGCTGTCGGTCCTCCCTGTGTCCCACAGACATGATTCCTGCCCAGCTTTGTGCAGGCCCTGTTCATGCTGGCCACCGTGGTGCTGTACTTCAGCCACCGCAAGGAATATGTGGCTTCCATGGTGTTCTCCCTGGCCCTGGGCTGGATCAACATGCTCTACTACACCCGTGGCTTCCAGCAGATGGGCATCTACGCCGTCATGATTGAGAAGGTGGGTTCAGCATGTGTCGGGGGTGCTGTTGGCCCAGACTCTGGTCATCTTGTCCATGATGCCTGGGGACAGCTCTAGGAATCAAACAACCTGGCTTTGACCGAGGTGTGGGGTCTGGGGGTCCTGGAAATTTATTCTCTTTGCCTACCAGTCCTTCTCCCTCTATCCCATCCCCACGGCCAGAGTTTAGGCTTCCTAATAACACTGTCCTCCCAGACTCTGCCCTGGTCTTATGCAGGCCTGGCCATGACCTTGGCCCCTCCCAGCCTGCACATGGCTCTGATGAACCTGCTCTCTCCTGCAGATGATCCTGAGGGACCTGTGTCGTTTCATGTTCGTCTATCTCGTGTTCTTGTTCGGTTTCTCTACAGGTAATGGGCCTGATCAGGGCTGGCAGGTAGGCAGGACCCTTGCACTGCTCTGCTTACTGAGGACTCTGCTGGGGCTAGGCAGAGGAGGAGGCAGCAGGGGTGGACGGATAGGGGGGTTTGCAAGTGGCAGAGCACACGGACCCGGAACACACCGAAGAGAAACCTGGAAACAAGATTCACAAAGATGTTTTTGGCAGTTTTTGAAGTAGAAAATAGGTGCGGTTGTAGAGTTGTTGGTTTAGTTTTTTCAGCTTTAAAAAAAATATTTTTATTTGAAAGGTTGGGTATAGAGAGAAGATGAGACACAGAGAGAAGGTCTTACATCTGCTGGCTCACTTCTCAAGCTGGCCACAGTGGCCAGAGCTGAGGGGATCTGAGGCCAGGAGCTAGAAACTTCTTCTGGGTCTTAAACCTGGGTGCAGGGGCCCAAGGACTTTGGGTGCTTTCCCAGGCCATACATAGAAGGTTGGATTGGAAGTACAGCAGCCTGGACACAAACCAATGCCATTATGGTGGAAGGTTAGCTGGCTGTGCCATCACCCTGGACCCAGTTTCTTCAGCTTTTAAGTTTGACTTAATTCCAGACTTACAAGAGCACTGCAGGATTGGTATAAATGACTTCTCTGTTTTTTTTTTTTTTTAAATTCAGAGTTTCCAAAGTTTTACCACCTTTAATGCACACACACTCACATACATGGCTGTACACATGTGTATATCCCAGGCTCAACATCTGAGAGTTAAGTTGCACCCATGACCAGCCCTTACTTGCTAAGTACTTCAGTGTGCATTTCCTGCAAATGACAGCAGTCTGTCACCTAAACACTACAGGATTATCAAAATCAGGAAAGCAGTATTGATCTGTAGTGTTTGCTAGTCAACAACCCTTATTAGGAGTTTCATCAATGATGCTCGCTGGTCCTTTATGGAAAGTGCAGACGTGGGACCACATATTCTGTTCCATTGTTGGGCCTCTCTTGCTGCCTTTATTCTTGGGGAACTTGGCCCCTCTTTCCTGGCGTTTTGTGTAGCACCTCCCTGTCTGGGTGTGCCTGATGTTTCCTCCTGGTCAGATTCAGCATGTGTGTGAGAGCAGAAGTCCAGGGAAGCCCTCTGTGCCTGCGGCACTCCATCGTGTGGGCGTTTGCCGGTCCTGCTGCTGCTGCCGTTGCTAACCTGGCTTGCTCTGTAACTGAGAAGTCATTTTGGAGCAGAGGCTGCAGACCATGTTTCTGTCCCCTTCTTGCCAGTCGTGTTCCTATCCTGTGGTGATTCTTACATGTGTCACTTACATGTGCTGCAGTCATGTTGTACACACGGATTTGTGAATGTTGCTTAATAGTTTTCCCAACAGATGGTGATAATGACACAGTTCTTATAACGATGCAGTATCTTAGGATAGTATTCTGATAGTTTTGAAGAATGGGTGATCCTTTTTTTTCCCCCCAAATTTTAATGATTATTTTCCATGATACAGTTTTGTAGGTATAGGGATTCTCCCTTCCCCCCCCCCTTTTCTGCTCCTATCATTTCCCCCCCCCCTATTATTACAGTCTGCACCCAGGGATGGAGATGGCCATGTGATGTCACCTTAGAGACCCTGATGGGGGGAAGAATGCTTTGAGGGTGCTGCTTGAGGGGTCTTGATAAGTTCTGAGACATCGTCCACTTCGTTGTACTACTAGGGTTGAGAAAATTTCTCTAAGGTCTGTTGGCTGACCAGAATATGTCAGTGTCTGGGAGCAATTCACACAGCGGTCTGTGAGGCTGAGCAGTATACTGGCTGCAGACCCCTCCTGGAGTGGGAGTGCAGGGCAGGGGGTCTGAGGTCTCAGCTGCCATTCAGCTGCCCCCGTCCCTCCCCACGGCCCACAGCGGTGGTGACACTGATCGAGGACGGCAAGAACAGCTCCGCCTCGGCCGAGTCCACCTCGCACAGGTGGCGGGGGTTTGGCTGCCGGTCACCGGACAGCTCCTACAACAGCCTGTACTCCACGTGTCTGGAGCTGTTCAAGTTCACCATCGGCATGGGTGACCTGGAGTTCACCGAGAACTACGACTTCAAGGCTGTCTTCATCATCCTGCTGCTGGCCTATGTGATTCTCACCTACATCCTCCTGCTCAACATGCTCATTGCACTCATGGGCGAGACGGTCAACAAGATTGCACAGGAGAGCAAGAACATCTGGAAGCTGCAGGTGGGCCGGGCTGGGGCAGCCTGTGGGCAGTGGCTGCTGCTTTACACAGTGAGGCCCAGGGACCCTGCAGGAGGTGAGGCCCTGGGCCAGCAGTGTGTGCCAAGTGTCCTCTGTGCGGGTTCCCTTGGTGACACACTGAACGGTGTCACAGGAGCCCAGCTGGTGTTTGCAGCGTAGTATGTGCTTGGTGGGGGAACTGGAGGGTCCCCCCAGGAATTTGGTCTAGGGTGAACACTGCACCCCGGGCTTGGCAGCAGCTCACAAGGCTCCCTTTCTAGCTCGGGTGGTCGGCACCTGTTTCCCCGGTTGATCCTCAGAAAACTTCCTCGAGGAAGGTACTGGCCCAGCTACCCTCCGCAATTTACCTGAGTCTTGCTTAATCCTCACAACCACTTTTGGGAGTGGCCCTGGTCACTGCCCCATTTTTAGGTGGAGACACTGAGGCGAGAGGGGCAGCAGGGGTTCAAGCCACTCAGCTAGTGAATGAGTCCAAGTGGTTTCTTCTTTTGTCACTTACAGTCTTTGATGAGCGAAGATTGTGTGTGTGTGGTGGCTCTGTGGGCGATGTCAGTGCCCGTGCACATGTGCGCTGGTCAGATTAAGTTCATCAATATTCCTCCTTCCTCACCTTTGCTTCAATGTTAGGGCCTTGGCACTTCTTTTTTTTTTTTACTGTTTGCCCCTAAAATCTCGTGAGCTGTGGTCACCTGGCCATGCCGTGTGACAGTAGGAGCTCATCCCTTCCCTCAGTCGAATCTGGTGCCATGATCCTGACTCCCGTGTCCACCCCCAGCCTCCTCAGCCTCCAGGAAGCACCGTTCGAATCGGTGTTCAGATTGAACTCTGTGTTTTAGGAGGAAGAACGTCGTATTTGCTCTTTCCATGTCTGCCTTATTTTACCTGACAGCGTGTCCTCCAGGTCCAGTCACTTTGTTGCAAGGTGTTCTGATTGCACTTATCTGTTTATCTGATGACAGTTGCTTTGTTTGATTCCCACCATGGCTGTTGCGAATAGTGCCTTCTGCTTAAGTGTGACTCTCCACTGCCCCCTGGTGAACTTCTCAGGGAGGGGTCTGAATCCCCAGTTAGTCCTGTGGCTGCTGCACCGCACAGACCTGGCAGGCACAAGCTGTGTGTGGACAAATCTGAGGGTGGATAGGCTGAGCCCCTTCCATGGGGTTGCCAGGCAATGGAAGCAGACCTTGCCTCAGGAGGTCCAGCTGGGAGGTGGAACAGGTTGGTGGGCCATGGGGGTGAGCCCCTGGAGTCTTTGGGTCTTCTTACAGAGAGCCATCACCATCCTGGACACAGAGAAGAGCTTCCTGAAGTGCATGAGGAAGGCCTTCCGCTCAGGCAAGCTGCTGCAGGTGGGCTACACCCCCGACGGCAAGGACGACTACAGGTGGTGCTTCAGGTAACAGTCCGCCGGAATCGAGGCTGTAGGCGTGGGCATGAGGGACCCACTGGAGACTGGCGCGGCTGCCAGGCCATCCTTCTCAGGCCCTCCTGAGGTCAATCACGGGCATGAGGCACTCTCCGACTGCTACCCTCGGGCTTCTGCTGTGGGCACAGCAGATCCGCTTTAGACCTCAGCTGACATGATCCAGATGTTCACTTCTGGACAACTGGAGGTGTCCAGAAGGGGAGCAGGGGACAGAAGCAGGAACCTCAACATTTATAATTCCCTGGCCTTTGGGTCAGATGAGAGAGTGCACATATCCTCAGTGCTAGGATGTTCGAAAGCAGAGCCTCTTTCTGCACCTGCGCCTCCCTCACCCCTCCAGCCTCAGCTCTGTCCTGGTATGTGGGCTCTCAAGACTGGCCCCATTTGGCCTGGGGAGCCAGGTGTGACTGCGCCCGTGCCCTCACCTTGCAGGGTGGATGAGGTGAACTGGACCACGTGGAACACCAACGTAGGCATCATCAACGAGGACCCGGGCAACTGTGAAGGCGTCAAGCGCACCCTGAGCTTCTCCCTGCGGTCAGGCAGAGGTGAGGTGTGAGGGGTAGGTGCTGTGCCTTGGAGGAGGGACTTTTTTTGGCTGGGGGGCCTAGTGTTGGGCAGGTGGCACTTTGAGGGTCATCCACTGCTTACAGGCCTGCCTCACCCTCATAGGACCCAGTGCTGCTGCAGCCCCAAATGTCAGCCATCCATGCTGCCTTCAGCTCTAGGCCCTCTGACCTGTGCAGTGCCCGCTTGGGGTACCCACGCAAGTGGCTGGGCCAGCATCCCGGACAGACACTGCTTCACGTGGGCTGCCCTAGTTTCTCCGTCCTGGTCCTTATGCCCCACGTGTGTGATCACACCTGTGTGAGGCAGGGCAGGTGTGGACAGGTGCCTGTGACATTTCCTAAATGGGGACACATGGGGCAGGTGCGGGCGAGGGGTGAGGAGGGGGAGGAAAGTTTACACTTGAAGTAGAAAATCCTGAGGGAAATAACAGCCAGAGGGAGCACCGTGGCCGCCATGTCATAGTGAACATGGTATTAAACAGCTTCAAAAATGAAACAAACATAGTCCACAACAGACAACTGAGCGCTGATTCGTTCAAATCAACTTTTAGCTTAAAAGCTTTGTGGGAAAATACCTGCTGCATGGCATTCACCATTTTCAAGAGCGCAACCCCGTGGCATTGATTCCATTCATGCTGTTGCGTAACCATCTCTACGGACTTGCCTGTCCCATGTATCTCACATCGGTGGAATCACTAGCTAGCTGCCTGTAATGTCAGGTTGATTACATGGGCATTTCACAGAAAATGCAATAAGGGGCGAAAGATTTTGAAACCCATGCCTAGTGTTTTCATGATGCACATTTCCACAGATGCTTTGAGAATCCTATCCAGTATTCCTCTGTATGGATCCACCCCGTGTTGCTTATCCGTCTGTTGATTGACGTGTGGATGTTCTTACTTTTGTGGCAATTGTGAAAAATCTTACGAAGGCGGACAGACTAGATGTTGCCTGATTTTCCGCTTTCAAGGATTTGGGGTGCACACGTAGCAGTAGGACTGCGGGTTCACACGGTGATTCTACAGTTCACTTTCTGCGGAAATGCCAACCTGTTTCCCCGAAGAGATGCCTTATTTTATATTCCTGCCAGCAGCACTTGAGGCTCTGGATTTTCCTACACCCTCACCAATACTTCTTACTTCTTCTCTTTTTCTTTCAATTTATTTATTTATTTGAAAGGCAGAGCTACAAAGAGAGGAGAGAGAGCGAGATCTTCCATCCACTGGTTCATTCCTCTAATGGCCACACGGGTCAGAGCTTGGCCATTCTGAAGGCAGGAGCCTGGAACTTGATTCAGGTCTCCCATGTGGGTGGCAGGACCCAAGCATCTTCCGCAGCTGGATTGGCAGGGAGCTGGATGGAGAGCGGAGCAGCTGGATCTCAAATCAGTGCTCCAATATGGGATGCTGGTGTTGCAGGCAGCAGCTTAGTTCACTGTACCACAACACCAGCCCGTTAAGTGCTATATTGGGTGTGGTAGATAATATACTACAGCTACCCTCATTTAAAATACTGTCTACTACCTTCATTTAAAATACTGAATTTTGGCTCTGTTGTCCATTCAGTTACTGATATGGCATGCCCTCTCAAAGTAGAGGGGCCTGGATCATGGCCCCCGTCTGGGTGGTGAGAGCTGAAGGTGGATTTCCAAGCAGAGACTCCAGCACACACAGCATGCCCGCGACCATGATTTCTCTGAGGTGGCCACAGGGGTGGTGACTGGGCATCTGTCAGTGGCTTCCTGGGAGTTCAGGCCCAGGGTCACTGCGGGTTCTTTGCCATTGCTGTCCATCCTAGTGATCCTTCGGCTGGGATCAGCGCCTGAGAGCTCAGCTGCTGCTGTGGGGACCCTTGTCCCTCCCATGTGGGTCAGGATTGGGGGTGGGAAGCTGAGGCCTGGCAGGGAAGCAATGGGCTCTCACAGCATCCCAAGTAAGGGGATGTGTCCTCTGGGGTGACGGAAGGAAGGAGTTGCAGCCATCCAGGTTGGTAAGCAAGGGCCACGGGCCTGGGCCTTGGTTTACCTGGGGCGGGTGGCGAGTGAGTGTTGTGTGGCCATCTCTGAGGCCCTGGTGACGATTTTTTCCTTCAGTTTCAGGGAGAAACTGGAAGAACTTCACCCTGGTTCCCCTCCTAAGGGACACCAGTACCCGAGATCGGCACCCTGCCCCGCCTGAGGATGTCCACCTGAGGCCCTTCGTGGGGCCCCTGAAGCCAGAGGATGCTGAGGTCTTCAAGGTCTCCGTGGCTTCAGCAGAGAAATGAGGGCCCCCCACAGGCGCTGTCAATGCCTTGTGGTGGGGGTTGTGTGTGGTCCATGGGCTACCCACAGTGCTACCTGTGGCCTGGCCTGCTCCCTGCCTGCCCCAGTGTGCTTGTAGACTGCCTCAGGCCAGCCCAGGAAGAGAGTGTGTGGGTGAGGCCTCCAACCACTCAGGTCCCAGCAGGAAGCGGCCTGACACTTATCTTTTCTGCTGATGTTACTAGAAGGCAGGAGTGGCAAATATCTAGGCAGCAGGGGCCTGGCTTTCTTCGGCTTTGTGTTCCTGGCAGGGCCAGTGAACAGAGCCCGTGAAGCATACGGGGAGAACAAAGCCATGTGTCGCCTTTCCTCTCTGGCTTGTGCTCCACGTCGGCCCTGCCTAGGGTGGGCTGGGCAGAGGATGGCATCTTCTTGCCAGCGAAGGTGGTGGAGGCTGGCCCTGCTCCCAGCTCTGGCAGATTAGAATGTGGCTTTGTCCTTGTGTGTGAGACGCCTTCGACTCCCCCAGGCGTTAGCACTGTAGCGGCTCAGAAAAAGAACAGGACCACTTTCCAGGGCCATGTGGCAAGAATTTCCCCGTAATCTTCGATTGCCCTGCCTACTGCAGTGCTACCTGTTTCCACCCCCTCCATCTTGTCATTCATCCAATAAACACACATACAGGTGCATGCCACATCGAGTGTGGCCTTGGTGCTGGTTATTGGGTCAAAACAGCTAGCTGGCTCTGTACTTACGGAATGTGTGTGCGCGTGCGCGTGCACACACGCGCGTGTGTGTGTGTGTGTGTGTGTGTGTGTGTGTACATTTCTCCATGGGGCCAGGAGCCTTTGTCACTGTTTTTAAAAAAGATCTGTGTATTTATTTATTTGACATAGAGGATACTACCATCTACTGGTCATTCCCTAAATACCAGCAGTTGGCCAGTTCTGGGCCAAGGCTGAAGGGGGATCTGGGAACTCAACCCAGGTCTCCTATGTAGGTTGCAGGAACGCATGTACCCTGTTATCCTGCTGCCTCCCAGAGTGCGTTAGCAGGAAGTTGCAATGGGGAGCAAACTGGGACTTGAGCCCAAGCATCCTGGTCCAGAATGTGCGGGCGTCCCAGTTGGCACCTGAACCACTGTGGTCACTCTTGGCTATTCCCCTGGGCTGGGGCCACTCCCTCACAGACGCGCTTACTGGGACAGCAATGTCTTGGCCACAAGTTGGGTCCTGCCTGGTTTCTAAATTCACTTTGATGGGGAGCACAGCCACACCCACTCACTCATAGCCTGCCTCTGGATGCTTTCATGCTACACTGCATACCTGAATACTTGCAAGAAACTGAAAGACTCACAAATTTTTTACTATCTTGGCCCTAACAGAAGAGTGCGTGGAAACTTCCTTTACAGGATAGAACTTAAACAGTGCAGAGGAGAGGTCTGTCCAGGACACAGAGGGCTGTGTGTGTGTCCATGGAATGTGGCACACGGTGCCTTGTCACGCACCTGTTGGATGCTGGTTCACAGAAGAACAGATGGCTTTGAGCTGAAACTGGGGCTCAGCATCCCAGAGGGGCATACATGCTCACCAGCATACACACACGAGGTGCCTGTGTGTGAGTGAGCTGTGCCTGGACCATGGCAGGTGAGCGTGGAGACCAGTCCTGGTGGCGAGGACAGACGCCAGGTTTCTGAAAGTGCTGGGTGTGCAGTATTCTCAAAGCTCCTGCGGCTCATCAGGAGGCTATTATTAGCTCCCGTTTGTAGATGAGAGCATCAAAGCGCTTGCAGTCAGTAAGGTGACACAGCCCATAAAATGCATGACCTGGATCTGACCCCGGGCAGTGCGACTCCAAACTCCGAGAGCTGGTTCTCAGCTGCTGCGTCAGGCTGCCCCAGGGTGTGCCCAAATGTCCCTAGTCAGGAGGGAGACAGGAGGGCTCCTCATCGCGGTTGTGGGCCCCAGGCTTCCTGCTTTACCCACATACCTCCCTCATAAAGGTTGTGTGGCTGTCAGCTCCATGCAGATTTCTGCAAACGCATCAGCTTTTGAGCTTTGGTGGGGCTGTGCCAGATCCTGCAAACACTTTGTTGTATACTTGCTGATGTTTAAAGAAGGACATAGCCATGATGGGTGCATAGTTTGCCTTTATATTTCCATTGACTGTATTGGTAAAGTAGTCTGTGGTTTGTAGCTGAATTGAACAGAATGGAATTGAGGGTTCTCTTGCTGTGGGCAGCCTGCCTGCATCCACATGCAGCCGTGGCTAACAGCTGGAGCCTTCTCCTGGCACGTCATCCTTTCCCACAGTGCGTAGTTTATGTGAGGGGTCACTCACGGAATTGGGCATTTGGCACGTGAGTGACAATGCATGTCCTCCGTTACAGCATCCCATGGGGGATTTGCACAGTTGAGGAGTCCTCCACGCTCCGCCAGCTCATCCCACCTTTCCCCTAAGCCTCTGTCAATGCTGATCTTCTTACTGTTTCCTTAGTTTTGCCTTTCCCAAAATGCGAGGCACTGGAATCACACAAAATGTGGCCTTTAGGGACAGGCTCCTTTCACTTAGTAGTAGGTACTCAAGCTTCCTTGAGCTTGACAGTTAATTTCCTTTTAAGATTTCTCTATTTATTTGAAAGGCAGAGAGGCAGAGTCATATCTACAGAGAGAGAGACAGACAGACAGACAGAGAGAAATCTATCTGCTGGTTCATTCCCTAAATGTCTGCGATAGCCAGGCTGAAACCAGGAGGCAGGACTTTCATCCGGGTCTCCCACACTGAGGAGCAGGGACCCAAACACTGGTACCATGTTTTGCTACTTTTTCCAGGCCTACTGGTAGGAAGCTGGATCAGAAGTGGAAAAGGCAGGAATTGAGTCTGGGTTCCTATAGGGGATGCTGGTGCCATCAGCGGTGCTTAATTCGCTACACCACAATGTGGACCCTGTTAGTTCACTGCTTTTTGGCACTGAACAATATTGAGCAATATTGCCTTGTCTAGATAAATCTCTGCTTTTTGATTCATATATTGGCTGGATGTGATTTTGAGTTGTACTTGTGAGTTGTAACATGTGTGAGTGAATTACTAGGAATGTCAGCGTACAGGTTTTTCTACGGACACAGAGCACGGCTGCAAGATCTTTCAGTGGGAGTAGGCTTGGTTTTGTACAATGCCATCAAGAGGTCGGCATTGGGGAATGGTGGCTTGAGCCACTGCCTGTGACACCGGCATGTCATATGAGAGCTGGTTTGCATTCCCGGCTGCCCTGCTTCCAAAGCAGCTCTCTGCTAATGGACCTAGGAAGGGGCAGAAGGTGGCACAGGTGCTTGAGAGACCTGGATGGAGTGCCTGGCTTTGACCTTAACCAACCCCGGCTGTGTGGCCCTTCGGGGAGTGAACCAGGGAATAGAAGAACTCTTTCTTTACCTCTTTCTCTGTCATTCCACTTTTCAGGTTAATAAATAAATCTTAAAAAAAAAAAAAAGAAGGAAAGAGAGAAAGCCACTGGTTGTCTTACAGAGTGGGAATGACTGAGAATTTCATCTGTCCTACATTGCTGTCAGCGTCTGGGTTTGGATTTGGGTCATTTTGAGAAATGTGTGATGGCCTGTTGCCTATTTCCCTTATCCCATCCCAGTGACTTCCTCATCTTTTTGTTGAAATCTTTTCAGAGCATTGATCAGTGGCACCTGAGCATGTGATATTTTTGCTCAAATCATCTTTTTTACTTTTCTATATTTTTTATTGGGGTTCTCAAAGCAAAATGAGGAAAAAGGGAACAAAACAAAGCAAGCCAAAATATTCACAGTATACTGTCCTATTACTGATTACATTTTTAAGAAGGTTTATTTATTTTTTATTGGAAAGTCAGATATACAGAGAGGAGGAGAGACAGAGAGGAAGAGCTTCTGTCCGATGATTCACTCCCCAAGTGACCGCAACGACTGGAGCTGAGCTGATCTGAACTCAGGAGCTTGGAGCCTCTTTCAGGTTTCCCACGTGAGTGCAGGGTCCCAAGGCTTTGGTCCATCCGCGACTGCCTTCCCAGGCCACAAACAGGGAGCTGGATGGAAAGCGGGGCCATATGGAATCCTGGCTCGTTCAAGGCGAGGACTTTAGTTGCTAGGCTGCTGTGCTAGGCCCCTTATTGCTGATTTTATGCTCACAGTTTAAAATTTTACTTATTTCTAATTGACAAGTAGAAATCGTATATACATAAGGTATACAATGTGATGTTTTGATATGTTCATTCACTGTGGAATGGCTTAGTCAAGCTACTTAAGATCTGCATCATCTCATATATATTTAGAGATTTGTTTATTTATTTGAAAAGCAGAGCAAAGGAGGAGGAGGAGAAAAAGATCTCTCATCTGCTGGTTCACTTCCAAATGACCATGACAGGTCAAAGCTGGGAGTTTGGAACTCAGATGGGTCTCCTACATGAGTGGCAGGAGCCCAAGAACTTGAACTGGCATCTGCTGCCTGCTAGGGTGTGCACTGGCAGGAAGCGGGACATGTGGGCTGGAGTCTACAGGATGGGGAAGGGGCTGCATGCCTGCCCTGTGTGTCCTCTGGGGCATTTGCAGCAGGTGGAGGACAGACCCCAGTCCTGCTCCTCCCCGCGCCTCGTAGACACTGCTGACTCAAGTATGTACCCTGGAGGGGGGGTGGCGGGGACAGGAATGCCTCTGGGGCATCTTGGCAGGTGTCAGGGGGCTACCTGCCCTGCAGGGGTATGGGAAGCATGGTTGGGCAGGAGAACCCAAGGCTGCCCTTGCCCTGCCTGTGTCCTACCCCCAGCCCAGTGCAAGCTCTCTGTGTTACCCTCTGCACATCCACTCTGTCTGAACTGCCCCTTTCCTGGAACTGTGGGTGTTCCATTTAGTGTCAGGGAAGAATCGGGGCTCATTAATGAAGGGCTGGCACAGCACGGTTCATGGCTGCTGTTTAGAACGAGTTGTTGGCAGTGGCAGGGGGCAGCAAATGGGGCTACAAATGGGTGCCCACAGTGAACACTAAG